AAAATAAACAGATAAGATTGTATCATTAAAAGTATCAGTATCAGAGTGTGCATGACCCAGGTTGTTCTGGGTTGTCCCATCATACAGTAATGCAGGTGAACTCGTTCCATGTGCCATACATTTATTTTATTTGCTTGTGCAACATTTCACTGCGCCAGTGTATTGGAATTAAGCAGATTGGTTATTAAGTGACAGCTACTGCTTCAGAGTACAAATATAATTTCAGCGGAAGTCCGTTATAATGCCATCAATTTAATGTAATACAGAAACTTGTATATTTATGGATACATGCATATTAATCACTTTTGACCTTGCAAAAGATTGTTATCAAGATCATATTCTTACTCTCATTTTGGTTTCCTCTAAGATGGGCAGCATTTAAGTCCATAATTCCTTGCTCTACTTGGAAAAACATAGTTCATTTGTTCCTTGGTAGAGAGCATATACATAACAGGAGTTGATTGTGGCTTTTTTCACAACCCAGTGAAAATTGGACCGTTCTAAGTGTTTAGCCTTGAAATTCCAATGTGAAAAAGTTGCTGATATTAAATTTCCATTGTGGAATTACTTTATACCCACAAATTAGCAATAAGATATCTAACTAGCTGTTCATTTTTGTTCTGTTGCATAACATTTGTTTCACAGAGACCTAATGCAAGGATGAAGTGCAGAGGTTTTTGCATAGTTAGCAAATTGGAGCTCCCACTAGTTCTCATAAACCAAAGATGTGATAGTAATCATATATCTGGACTGCTTCAGACTCATATAATTGGCTTTCCAGACAAACATGTATGGATCTGATGGTTCCACATATGACCAAATTATATAATGTCCTCCTAACTGGAGACCCATTACCACCAACCTGGAGACAATTGAGGATTGTAATAATCCCCAAACCATATAAGGACCCCTCAAAAGTAGACACAATTTCGCTACTTAATCTGGATTATAAAATTTGTATAGCAATCCTGGTCAACAAAATCAAAAAGAAAAAAGAAAAATACATTCATCTGCATCAACCTAGTGTTGTCCAGGGATGTAAAATTACAGATCCATTTGGTAAGATATTGAACATAATTTATTATAGTAAACAGACCACTTCATCACCAACGTGCCTATAATTATCAAATTATCTGATTGAAGTAATTTTAAAAAAATGATTTTTCCATAAATTTATTAAAAACATGCTTTCTCAGCCACAGGACAATGCAAGGCTGCCCACTATCACCACCGTAATTTGCTTTAATTTTAGAATTATTCGTATTTTTTTTTTTTAATAATGATATTTATTAAAGTTTCACAAAAATACACAAGACAAAGAAAAAAGTATAAAGTACAGCAAAAAAGTAGAAAATAAGAAAAAACATACAAAATAAAACAGTTAAAAACACAATAATGTTCCATAACCTATCTTCCTTACTCTTATTTCCCCGGACCTCCTCATACCTCCCTTCTTTGTATTCCAGTTCCATTTGTTGGTTCAGCAAATCCTTACCATTAATCTTTTACCCAATTGTTAACCTTTTTTTTCCCCCATATCTCTTAAAGCATTACAGCTAAAAACCTCTTAGTTTCTATCCAACATCCTTCTAAAGTTCCTTAATTTTGCAATATTTCTGTAAATAGTCCTTAAATTTTTTCCAGTCTTCTTTCACCGATTCTTCTCCCTGGTCTCGGATTCTGCCGGTCATTTCCGCCAATTCCATGTAGTCAATCACCTTCATCTGCCATTCTTCCAAAGTGGGTAGATCTTGTGTCTTCCAATACTTTGCAATAGAATTATTCGTATTAAGTCTACGCCAAACATTAGCTACAAAGGGAATAACCATTAATGGAAAGAAATACATCTTGGACTTTATGCTGCTATTATCTTATGTACATCAGATCTGATGATCAGCAACAAGGGAAAGAGTTCTCAAATTTATACATGAATGGTATGGAACTCCCAAACGTTTTATCTTACCTAAACAGCTCTTCCATGTGTTGGAGATCATGCACTATCATAAGTACATATCAACATATTTGATAGAATTCCCCCCAAATAGAAAAAAATTTGGAAAGCTGTTTTTACAGAGATATCTCTGATCACAGCACAGACAGTTCCCATGACCCCAGGCTGGCTTTACTCAACCTATATTGAATACATGTTACAAATTAGAAATACAAAACCTATAATACATTCCTTAATGGCTGCAAGAACAACCATTCCTAGAACATAAATTTTTTTACAGTTTTTAAATATGGACCAAAGCTACATTATTGTGCTGGAAAAGAGCACTGGTAGAAAAATATGAAGCTCTTTTTGAATGAGTCTCAAGCCAACATTCATGCCCCCCGCCTAGCTGATTTTCGCTGCCCTCTGCTCTTATATGCCGACGATGCAGCGATCCTTTCCTACTCTAGAGTCGGTTTATGCAGAGCTCTAAAGATTTTTGCGGCTTATTGCAAACTCAACCATCTGACAATTAATCATGGGAAATCTAAAGTCCTGGTCTTTACCAGGTCTCGGAAAACTTACAGCTGGAAGTTAGATGGAGTCCAATTAGAACAAGTTTTCAAATTTAAATACCTGGGAGTCTTTTTTCACTACAACCTAAGCTGGAAGCCACAGATACAGTATTTACTAAACAAAGGGAAAACAATACTTTATACTCTACTCCAATTTTTTGCGGCCGACGGAGCCTCCCACATCCCTTCTGCATTGAAGGTGTACCATGCAAAAAGTGGTTTCCACCCTCTGTTATGCTGCCCCGCTCTGGGCCCCAGGGTCCAATTTAACATCGTTGGGGACATTGCAGAATCAGTTTCTCCGTCGCCTCCTGAAACTCCCCATGTGTGTGAGCAACGCAGCCATACGTCTGGAGTTAAGGATTGCATCATTGGAGACGGTCATCTGGAAGCGAGTCTTTGGTTATTGGCTGTCCAGCTGGCACAGGCTTCCCAACCATTACCTTTTCAGTGCCTCTGGCGGGACGACTTTGTCAATCCATGGGTAGGAAAATCCATGCCAAACTTCTGAGCATCGGAATTTCCCAGCGGACTCCTTAAAGATGAACTTACGCTCAGCCAAAAGACTTATTGAGCAGAGATTAGCAGACACTGAAAATCAACACAACCTCGCCGGGGGTGAGGGTGTCTGCTCCCCAGGTATCACGGAATAACCTCACCACTTGGCCTTCCATCATACATGTCATCTCTTTCATCTGTACCACACCGACATGCATTTATTCGTGCAAGGTTCAATGTCTTTCCATCGAACCTGCTGAGCCACAGATTTTCCAAGGGTTTGGTGTCTCCGCTATGTGTGTGTGACGGGAAAACTGTTGATTCTCTCTCACATATAATGTTCAACTGTCCCCTACATAGCATAGCCAGGACTAAATTTCTGGGCCCTGCTTTACTGCGCTTGGTTGGCAGGCCTGCTGAGTCACATGCCGCACTACTTTTGCAGGATACAGATCCTTCTGTAACTCTGCAGGTGGCGAGATTCCTGAATGCAGTTATCTCACACACAAAAACCACCAAAAACAACAACATCAAAAACTAATCGGACAGTTTTGAAGAGAGTGCATGTCGGATCCCGTCTTCAGTTCTCCTTTCTGGGATCCGTCCCTTGGAGCTCTCCGGGCCCCAAGCTGTTATCTGGCTCTGCTCAATGACCCACCCCTGCATCATGGTGTTCACCTTCTGGTGCCGAATATATTAGTCTTTATGCCTCTGTGCTTTTATGTTTGTACATACTTTATGGGCTAATAGCCGTAAATAAATAAATAAATAAATAAATAAATAAAACATATTTGATAGAATTCCCCCCAAATAGAAAAAAATTTGGAAAGCTGTTTTTACAGAGATATCTCTGATCACAGCACAGACAGTTCCCATGACCCCAGGCTGGCTTTACTCAACCTATATTGAATACATGTTACAAATTAGAAATACAAAACCTATAATACATTCCTTAATGGCTGCAAGAACAACCATTCCTAGAAGATAATTTTTTTTACAGTTTTTAAATATGGACCAAAGCTACATTATTGTGCTGGAAAAGAGCACTGGTAGAAAAAAATACACCAAAATTAAAAGTGGCAAGAGGACAAAAGAAACATGACAGCTTTTATGCAGTTTGGTATGATTTTATTAATTACACAAACCATGAAGCATATGGCAGGGCAGGACTTAACAGTATACAATACAGTCTGGCGCGTATAAGTCACCCCTTCGCCTTCACTCCTTATTATTTCTCTGTTTAGTTTGGATTTACGCAACCAGTAGCAAAAAGAACAAATACTGAAATACATATATTTAAATTATTATCGATATAAACTATTTTTACCTGTGTTCACCAATCTAAACATTATACGCCATTGTACGTTGTAGTGTAATTGTTATTTTTATTATTATTGAATTTATATAACGCCCTTTACCCGGAGGTGTCAGGGCAGTTCACAGAAAAGATCAACATAAAAATCAAAATATATCTAATCAAAATAAAAACAACCCAATAACAACAACAACCACCCCCCAAAAAAGAGCCACATTTTAAAAGGGCATAGGATGTCAATCAGATCAACCTGGTTAAATCAGATAAGATCTGGTTAAAAAAGAACATTTTTGCCTGGCACCTAAAGGTGCAAAATGAAGGTATTCCTCCTCGCCTTTAACTCAGTCTGCAAGTTTAAATTAATATTACTTTATTTATTTCTTATAAGTTATATGTTAATATGCAACCAAATTTGAAAGTCAATGCAGCGATGTTTGTATTTTTCTTTCTTTTGAAAGCATGTCGTCTTTGCTGCCCTCACCGCCACATGATAGGTAAATTATGTGTTGTAAGCAGTGTTCCGTTGACCTCAAAATGAGATTTCCACCACCAGCACTGTACTCATTGCCCTACCTATTTCATATCCTACCAGTTTACAGAATATCAAGTAACTCCACAGTCCCAGGGAGGACACTTGGGAGTGATTGTATCTAAACCCCTTGATATCTTGCCCTGGGGAGGGGAGGGACTGTAGCTCAGTGGTAAAGCATTTACTTTGCATGCAAAAGTTCTCTGGGTTCAATCCCCAGCTTCTTCAGATAAAACTGGGAATATCCCCTGCCTAAAATTCTGGAGAGTCAATGCCACTCATTGCAAATAATTCTGAGCAGGATGAACCAATGGTCAATATCCACTGAAAAATACCATCAAGCATGTAAGAATCCCTGAGATTCTGTAAATCTCCAGGGTGGGCCATCTAAATAAGCCCCCACCCTGGAAGGGAAATGGGTCATCGCAAATCCAATACCATATGTTAATAGTGATATAATTTAGAGATTATAGTTGCTAGGAACTAGATGGGAAATTGTCAACAGCCAATAAACTAACGATTTGGAAGCTTTAAAGCTCCGTGCAACTTGCTTTTTTCCCTGACAGCTTTGTACCATTCACAGGAATACAGCTTAATAAATAAATAACTTCTGTCAATAGATTGTTCAATCTTTTAAAAATGATTTTTTGAAGCACCTTTTATGGAGTGCACATTTTAAAACTATTTCCATTAAAAAGACATGGGGCTGTCACTTGTAGCATGAGATGATTGACCTCACATAGATTTGCCTCTACACCTATTGATTACTCCCCCCCTTCGTTTTGACATTTCACATGAGTTAATTTAAGATTCATCACTTTGGAAATGTCAAGTTTAAGGGCTGCCTCTCATTGTTTGGAGAGAGTAATGTTTGAAATCGTTTACTTATCTTTTTAAAACAGTAGGCAGGATACATCCTTGCTGTACTGGCTCAGCGCTAAGTCAATAGATTGTTGTTTTCTTCCACAGAGTTTTCCAATATGTCATTTTTTTAAACAGGAAAGTTAATTGACTCAATTTTGGAGATATCAGTAACATCCCAAATAGATTTTCAGCATCTCAGCATATTCAATCAACTACACAACTTCTTGTAAGAAACCCTTTATCTTACATCACACTCTAGCACAGACTAGAGCAAGCCAGTGGGTGTTAAACACATCATTAAGTGTAGAAGTCAATGAGAGGTATAATGGATTTGAACTCTTATTTCCTCAGTTCAATTGATAAGATGTTATTTTCTTCAGGTGAAAAAAAGTACTGTATGCATTTTTATTTTTATTTTTAATCCACTAGACAGAGTGCAAAATAAGTGATTTGCCTAAGGCCACTCAGTGAGCTTCATAGCTACATGGTCATTTGAATCTGGATTTCACATCTTCAAGATGAACACTTTAACCACTGACCCTGAAGCCTGATTTAAATTTAACAAGGCTGCACTGCAGGGGGATGGGGACTTCCATGTAGGTGTTTCATACCACAGCCATCTTATTTACAAGGTGTGTACGTACTACATGTATTACTTTATCTTTTACAACTGCCTTTTTCAGCCTGAGAGCCAGATCAACAACTGGCCACCCACCTGTCTATCTGCTAATCTCATTATGATGTCAGTTGACAACTTCAAAGAGGTTCACTAGCAGCACCAATCCTGCAGCCTCACTGGCCAAGGAACAATTGGAAGTACACTTTAAGCTCCCATTTTTTTTCTTTGCAGTTGCAACTTTATTGCCCCACAACTGATATTGCATATGATGTTAAATGTAGGTCAAGTGGGTGTGGCTTAAGGCAGTGTTTTTCAACCACTGTTCCGCAGCACACTAGTGTGCCGCGAGATGTTGCCTGGTGTGCCGTGGGAAAAATTGAAAAATTCGAAAGATTTTTTTAAAAAAAAATTCAAATTTTCGCCCACCAGGCGGGCGCCAGACTGTGTCCTGGGTATGGGGGGGGTTGACCCCACCCTCGGCCAGCAGGGGCACCGATTGGCGCTCCTCAGGGGGACACTCTCCACTTTTCTGATGTCTGGGCTGTGATTGGTCCAGACTCCACCCTGGACCTATCACAGTGGGACATCATCTTCTGACTTCCTTCCCGCCCGAGCACAGTGTGCACAGCAGCGGAGAGAAGAAGACGCCACAACTCGAGTCACCAGGAGGACCGGAGAAGTTGTCATTTTATTTCTCTTCAGTCTCCACTGAATGCCTTGACTGGGTTAGGGACCCTTATAGCTCAGCATCAGTTGGTGGAAAGGACATGACTTTACAGGAGCAGGAGGAACTAACTGAACTGAGACAAAATCGTGGTTTCAAGCTAAGATTTGCTGATCTACCTTTGGACAGTTTTTGGTTGGATACTGCCAAGGAGTTCCCCTTCTGGCAAACAAAGCTATTTTGACATTGCTCCCATTTTCCACTACATATCTGTGTGAGATGAGCTTTTCAAGCATGATTGCTATAAAAACTAAATACAGAGAGAGACTGAGAGCTGTTGACGAAGAGCTACGTGTGTGTCTTTCTTCGACTCCAGCCAGAATATCAGCTTTGTGTTCAGCCAAACAGGCCCAGGTTGCGCACTGAATAAAGTATTTTATAATTTTTCATATTTCTGTTTACTTACTATTTCATAATAAAGTAATTATAAAATACTTTCTTTGTGTTTATTTGATTCCTATTCAAGAGAATTACTTTATATATAGTCAATATAGGCACAGAGTTAAATTTTTTAACATTTTCTAATGGTGGTGTGCCTCGTGATTTTTTTCATGAAACAAGTGTGCCTTTGCCCAAAAAAGGCTGAAAAACACTGGCTTAAGGAACAGCCTTGCAGGCCAAATTAGGACCACCTGCCAAACCTAGGTCTGTGGGCCCGACCAGAGGTTCTGCACTACAGTTTTATAAGAAACACAAGGAAAATATGATTGAGAGGATAAGGAACAAAATTGCCCATTGTATTCAACAAAGATCCTGGAGAACACAGAGGCTGACTTCGGCTGGATCTATACACATAAAAAGAATCGCTACAGAAAAACACATTATAAAAGCTGTTAATGGAAAATTCCATTAGCAACAGATCACAGCTCTACAGCAGCATCTGGTGTCACATGTTTATAACAGAGTTATACGGATATAATTGATGAGTGTAGCTGAGTCCTGTGTCTCACTTTTGCAGAAATAGCCTGGGGTGTTAAAAGTCTTCTCTGTCTATCACCCATTGGTATACCAGAAAATACAACTATCACTTTGCACAAAACTTACTATTCACTTTGGGGTCACAGCAATGGTCTCCCTCGCCACAATCATAATGGCAACTCTTAATTAATGATCCCTTCCACCCCATTCAAAAAAAAAAGATTGTTGCAGCATGTGTTGTTGAAGGTTGCTCGTAACACTTCCAGGGCACAATGTCACTGGCCATCTTTAAAAGAATCAGTGAAGATTTGATTATTAGTTTCAATGTCAAAGTACCAATGTGAGAGACAAGCTTGTACCTGTGTATGACCTGTGGGATATGTTTACCAAGACTGTCCCATAATGCTTTATGGCATATGATAATGTTAAAATGGATGGATCATTAATTTCCCATTCAGATGAGAATATACAGAGAGGCGCCTTATTGCATCCAAAGCCCACACAATCCTAGGTCTGTTGTAATTCCCAAATATCATGAGCAGCTTCATGTAGAGTGCATTATAATAGTCTAACATGTGACAAGTACATAGAATGCACTGAGGCAAGGTCTATTTTTTTCTATTTTTTTAGATAATGTTGTAATTGGCATGCTAAATAATTTAATAAAATTTAGATAGGCCAACCATTTTTTTCCCAATGATTAAAAAAAAAAGTACTTGTTCCAGAGAAGTAGCCATGTCTGCTGCAGTAAAACAACAAGCATCTTGTGGCACCTTAAATACTAAGAGATTTATTATGACATGAGATTTCATGGATTAGAGCATACTTCATGCAGTTGACAAAGTGGGCTCAAGTCCATAAAAGCTTTTGCCACAATACAGTTGTTCTATTAATGGGTTCTATTAATCATAGAGGACTTGGGCAGTGATAATGTCATTCTTTTACTAAATGGGCCTTTTGTGAAAGTCATCTAACTGCACTGTACAGTATGTTTTGACTTCGAAGGCAAGCTAGCAGGCAGGTTTCTGAGTACATTATTTATTTCCATAAGTTGTAGGTGCATTTAATACTGAAAATTGCCTGTACAAAGTGAGGACCTCAGGATAATATGAAAGGTGTTCAGCAACTGATGGGAATAAAGTAACCATTCTTTACCCAGGTTCTCCTCAGAGTCTGATCAATGTTCTTCTTGGAGCTTGATGAGGAGAAGTAGACAACATGTATGTCACTTTCTTCCTACCCACTTTTTGCCACTAAACAAGAATACCAAAACACTATTTTTAGAGAGATTACTTATTCTTTGCTTTTTATTCAATTGCTATTCAGGACATCAGGCATTCCTGTTTCAGAAGTATGATTCTTAAATGTTGATGTATAATTAATAGTACTGTAGTTTTGAACATCCATCTGAGCTTTTTTTTTTTTTAATTGACAGGGCTAAAAATAAACTATTTTTTAGTGACTGATCATGTTCAGTTCCCTACCTTACATATCACAAACACAAGTATAAACTGCTCCCCCCAATCCCTGCTCCTGCTTTTTCTGCAAACTAAAACTTCAGCCTTCATTCATCTCACGGGACGAGAGCATTATGAATTCCATTGAAAAGTCCCCTTCTGTCATAGCCACCATCCAGAAATCTGAATGGGAACATATAGGGAAGATTAGAATCCAAAGACCAAGTAGGCTCTTATGGGGAGAGGCAGTACACAAGGTATGGAGATCCTAAACGATATAATTTAGATTTTCGACAGTGCTGCTTATTTCATTGCACATAGAATCATAGTAGAGTTGGAAGGGAGCACGGGGATCATCTAGTCCAACTCCCAGCAATGCATGTGGGGTTTGAATCCACGACTCTTAGATTAAGAGTCTCCTGTTCTAACAACTGAGCTATGTATTTGATCCCATTGCAATCCTTAAATGTGCCATGTTAATTGAAGCAATGGTAGAAAGCTGTCTCCCCGCTCCCGCCCCCCAAAAATATGTGTGTGTGTTCGTGCATTTCAATGCAATTTAGCAGATTTTTTATGCACTTGGTTTCAGGACTACGAATGAAGGATATAATATAAGAGGCTGTTTTCTGGTCTGGTTTCTTGAATG